GTATCCGTCCGTCCGTCGTGCATCCAAAAATGGGAGGGGTGGGGCTGGGTGGAGAGGGGAGGGTGGGGCTGGATGGGGAGGGACTGGGTGGGGAGGGTGGGGAGGGGCTGGGTGGGGAGGGGCTGGTCACCCCGTGGTGCCCTTATAAAACTCAACGTTTAACCTACTCACGCCGGCTTGTGCCCGCCCTCACAGTCGGCCATATTTGCGGAATACACCACGCCGCCGTTGACCCTGGCCATTGACCGAGCAACCCAACGTTCCTTCCAGCTCCCTCCGCAGGAATGTGTTTATGCCTCAAGAGTACAGAAAAAGGTTATTATTCCCCTCAAACTTGTTTTTGTGAGCAGGACAGTGATATTTAGAAATGTACCTATTTTCAAAGAGAAAATGTGTGCATAAGTGTCATGCCCTGACAGAAAGACGTGGTCGGAAAAGCAAAGATAGTGGAGAATAATAGGCATTTTGTATATAACAATTTAAAAGTAGCGCTGAGTAGTCGGGGAGAAAAATCATGTTACTTAGGGTAACTGTCCGAAAACATTTGTTGATCCCTGTCATAAAATCTAACCGATAAAAGGCAATTTGTAATGAGTAAACAGTCATGGTAACAAATGTTTGAAGGGAGATGTAAACACATCCCTGCGGAGGGAGCTGGTAGGAACGTTGGGTTGCTCAGTCAATGGCCAGGGTCAACGGCGGTGTAGTGTATTCCGCAAATATGCCCGACTGTGAGGGCGGGCACAAGCCGGCGTGAGTAGGTTAAACGTTGAGTTTTATAAGGGCACCACGGGGTGACCAGCCCCTCCCCACCCAGCCCCACCCCTCCCAACCCCCACCCAGCCCCACCCTCCCCACCCAGCCCCTCCACACCCTCCCCTCCCCACCCCAGCAGCACCCTCCTCACCCAGCCCCTCCCCACCCAGCCCCTCCCTCCCCACCCAGCCCCCCCCCCCTGCACGACGGACGGACGGACACAATAATTCCCTGTGGGCTGGTGTAACCAGGATGTTCCTACCAGTAATATGTGTGTTACTTTGAGCAGTGTCCACACGAAAGATAATTCCCTTCTCACCCCTACCGAACGCGTGTGAGTTGGTAGGGTCGAGCATGTGCTATGTAATAAATAAGTAACCGAAAACAGCACTAAATCGCTAATTGAACTACTTTAAAGGTCAGTTTAACACGTAGGCTTTCGCGACCAATATTATTCATAGTAAACGTTTTTGGGTTAGATCGCGTTATTTATAAATGTAACCCTCCACCACTCGACACGGCCAATTAGTAATAAAGTGTAACGCTGTGTTGAAGAGTGAATCCACAACATTTACATTTTTTGAGTACGACGTTTCGCTGGTAATTCACCAGAATACTTTAAAGGTGACGGACGCGAAATCGGAATAGCGCTGGCTCAGCATGGGGCTTATGGCGTGCAACCTGGGTACTTTTTTTCAACATTACCCCCCCGGTTTGCGAGCATAATCCTTCGCAAGTGTCGGCCACACACACACAGACAGACAAAAAATGGCATGTATAGGTAAGACGGCATAGAACACAAACGATTTCCTTCTATCAGGAAGGGATAGCGTGATGAACGCGAATTTGATCCGCGTGTAAAACATCCCCTAGGGGGTCGTCTGCAATACCCCTGTAAATGAAGGTGGGCGGTGGGGGTAGGGATGACCCCGTGTCTCTTCCGTTCACCCTCTTCACTCCCTCCCTGTAATTCCACAACACCTCCACAGCCCAGGCTCCTGTCTGGCGCCGCCTTTGTGGAGCGGTCATAAACGACGAACGCTTCATTCAGTCGGTGGATGAATTGGCAGAGAGATACATCAAGCGATGGGCTAGGAGCGTGTCGGGTTCACGGTGCGTGCCGTGCCGTGCCACGCCGCGCTGCCGTTGTGTTGTGAAGCGACTTTTGTTAGAGCCCCTCGCTCAGAGCAAAGCCATTGACAAGCGAGCACTGACGTGCACGTTTACTGATCGCGGCTACTGATGTGCTCCGGGCGCGATGGTGATGACGACACGGCACGTTGTGTGAAAGCCTTGCTCTGTTGCACCCCCCCCCCCCCCCCAAAAAAAAAAACCACCACCCCCCAATGTCCAGTGGAAAAATACATTGGCCGTGAAGGCTCTGTGAACACATTGGGTTTATTGTTGTTGTTAACGCTTTCCAAATAATGTTCAAAGCGTCTGTGCATTCGCTCTGTCCACCCGTCTGCATGCCCGGCTGTAATGGGAGAGGGCACAATAACTCTTGTAAGAATTGTCAATAATGAATTAAACTTGTGTGTACACGTGTGCTGTTGCAGGGGACTGACACGAGACATGGAGAACGATGCAGCACTACGCTACTCCTGACGCAATCATCTTCGATGTAAAATTGAAGTTATTGCTCTACATCATAGACATCAGCCCATACGACGACGACGAATCACTGCAGAAGACTGGTCAAATCGCTCAAAGGTGCTACGCGAAGCTTGGAGACGCAATCCAGTATTCAAGGGACTCAGAGTAATGGTTATTTACGTCTGTAAAATATTGTCGGCCATATACATTGCATCGTTATTGTTATTATTGTTGATGTTACTTTGGCGACCCGGCCCCGCCGGGAATGGCTAGTAGGGGCTAGTAGGGGTTAACCCGGCAGAGCCTCTCTCTCTCTCATCGTGGACGAAGGGGCTTCATAATGAACGTGTGTTTGGAAAGCCTACGTGTTAAACTAAGGAGCTGTTGTATGTGCGCCTGGCGTAAGCGCTATGCCGTTACTGCCGATCATGCAATGCTTCAGAGCACACAGACGCGTGTTGGAAAGCGTTACATAATCCGTGGTGGGTAGGCATGGTTATCTTCCTTGGGCGAATTTTCAGTTTGTTTTATTCCAGGTTTTAATATTAGTACACCCATTTCGTCAATGCACTGCTGGAGGAGGGCCGTTACGTCATAGATTCGGATTAATGTGACCGTTCTCCACCACGCTGGTCATTCATTAATTATGCCATTAATGACCAATACGAATTCAGTCCACATTGTACCCTGTATCGTACACAAACTAACCATCAGACTCTTTATTTGTCGTGGGCACAGATGTTACTAGTGCGCATATTACAGCGCTCTGCTTGATGTTGCGGAGGCAGTGGCTGGCGTAGCTGTGTAGTGTGCAGGCGGTGTAACTGCACCAGAGCCCATGGGCCACAGTGGCCCCATGGGCTCTGGGCTACGTAGAGGGCCCATACTGGTGGGAGATCCTTTGTTAAATAAGCAACGACCATCCACTAAATTGCCCATTGCCTTGCTCCTAATACATACACACAATGCCGTATTATAAAATACTTTCCCCATCACTCACTCCAAGTCTGCTAGACCCCCGGGGCTAACAGGTTTCTATTGCGAGAAGCCAGTCTGCTTGACAGAGTGGAAATTGACTCGAAAATGCGTCGGCTTAATTTACTCGCCCGCGGCCGAATGCCCGAGTCTTCATGGTCTCTGTCTGAACGGACGTCCGCCCTGCCTGTCTGCGGGAACCATCTTTCCTTCGGCAACGACCCCGACAAAGCTTATTGCCAGCAAGACTATGGGGGGAGGCTGTATTACACTGATCATTCCTAATGGAAGGCGAAACTTATGATTGCGCTTGCTTACCCAGGAAAGTTTCACTGGGTCTCAAGACTCTTTTTGAGGGGGGGGGGGTTTGCCAAATTATTGCAGTTGCCGGTGATGTTCTTTTGTTATCCCAATTGAATAATTTGCAGGTAATTGTTCAGCATTGAGGTGTTTGGCCAATGCCAGTCACATTGTGGTACTAGGGGAATGCATACCTCAAGATCAATTGTGTAAGTATGTGACCTGGCTTATATACGTTTGTAATGAATATTGTAATCATCATCATCAAGGTATGGTATTAGGGATACGTAGCACTGATGATTCTTACAGATGGCTAAACTGTATTTTGATGGAAAGGACAACGTGGCAGAGACATATATGATGACGCTAATAATTATTTTGTGCCGTGTCTTTATCATGTGTTGCGTTGATCAAGGACTCATATCTTTAAGGACTCATATCTTTAAGGTATAACATCCTGCAATTGACCGGTATTAATTCAAGCAAGCCTGACTGCGTATGAGACACTGAATGTAACAATCGGTTTTGGGGAAACATTTTTTTTTCATTACGTGGAGAGACATGATAGATTAATCTATCCATTTTGTTATTATTTTTCACAGCGATGCTAATTATTCTGTTGTGTTACTTATGACCCGGCTTATTTAAGGTTGTCATGCATGGTCGTCCAGCACTGACGATTCACAACGGTTATGAAACGGATTCGTAACGTAATGGGTAATACGAGAGATCGTGTGGCAGAGCGATATTGCACTCATGATCCCTTAAAGAGCATATACAGAACATGTGTATCCAGCGCTGGGCAAAGTCAAGTACGGTCAAATAACAACCACGACCCCGCACGGGGAGCAGCTCATTCAGCAGTGGCATTGACAAAGGGGCTTCTCTGCTTGTACTTCACTAAGGTGGCAGATCTGCACGATACGGTCGATCCCGAATAAAGACACATCAATCAAGCCATGATTCAGGCCCAATTCAGTTTCGAGTGATGGAGTGGTTCCCAGGTACCGATGGAGGCCGCGAAAACGCCCTTATTTTAGCCGGCACTGTGTCCCCTTTGGATCTAATTTACTCTGGAATAACGGCGTCGTGGCGAACATAGTTTCTTTCAGTGTTCTTCAATAATTTTCTCCGATACGGCATCTTCAGTGTGAGGTTCTAACACACATTTGAAAACATTGTGGGTTTGACAGCATGATGATTGGTGGGGGGGGGGAGTGTTTCACATTTGTGTACTGTCGGGGGTCCGCACTAAAGGCCACCTTGCAATGAATGCAGAATTTGATCATTGCGGAGTGCAGCTGTCGACTTCCGTTCGCTGCGAACAGCGGGCGTGGAACACGGAATCACGACGGCGAATGAGCCGCCACCCGTGAGAGCCCGCGACTCCGAATGAGCCGCTCGGCGAACAAAGCCGACAACTTCAGCGGCCGCGCCACGGCCTCGGCGAAAGTCACCATCGCTTCTTCTTCTTCTCGGTCGGCTCTCGGCAGGAATCGCCCCCTTCGCTTGCACCGCCTCCTCTTGCCTTTTCTTGCCCGGGAATCTCGAGGCGCCTTTGCGCCTGGCGAGAAGTGAGTGTCCGGAACGTCAACCAATCCATTCCCCCGGGGTCGCTTCCAAGCCCGGCGTGGCCACACGCGGCCCCCCCCCATCCCCCACTTGGCCTAAAGTGTGTGGGGGGGGCGGGGGTGCCAATGTCACGCCCCTTCACGGGACCTTGGGGACCCCGGTGGGGGGGGGAGGGCGGGGAAGGGGGGGGGCGAGCGGGGGGTGCATGTGGGGGGGAGGGCGAGCGGGGTGGGGGGAGGGCGAGCGGGGAAGGGGGATAGGCGGGGGGGGAGGGGGCTGAGCGGGGGGGAGGGCTGAGCGAGGGGTGGGGGGAGGCGAGCGGGGGTGGCGGGCGGGGGGGGGGCGAGCGGGGGTGGCGGGCGGGGGGGGGGCGAGCGGGGGGTGCATGTGGGGGGGAGGGCGAGCGGGGGGGAGGGGCTGAGCGGGGGGAGGGGGCTGAGCGAGGGGTGGGGGGGGGGCTGAGCGGGGGGGTGGCTTGCGCGGGGGGGGGGTCCCGAGAGGCCCCCCACAGTAAAGTCTGTAACAACCCAAGTACTGTGTTAAACTGATGTGTCAAAGTATCGGGGGCTGGATCGCACATTTCACACCGACCACTGCCCGCAAAGATCCCCCGTGTCGCCTTAACAGAAATAACTGTAGGGGCAAGTGCTGTTAGCGAGCACATATGAAGGCCGAAACGGTACACGAGGGAGGTGGGTGGCCAGCACCACACCCGACCGCCTTTGTCTCCCCAAGTGGCGATGTTTGCACACCGCGCCGGGTACTCATTTGAGGCCGAGTTGACCTAGGGGAGGAGGCCCGGGACCAGTTAAAATAATCGGTCACAGATGTTGCGGGATTCGAACTCGTGTAGCCGCGCTAGCCGCAGACAGCAGCTGCTGACACGAGCACCGTTTTGATTTAAAGCTTTCGTGACTGCAGGGATTCATATTCCTGGTTCTTTCGGTAAAGTCACGTAGAAGGGAAATCATAAAATAATTTTATTGTTTTCTATTTTTATTATTTTATTGCTTTATATTTTCATTACTTTATTTCCCTTCTACGTGATTTTTCGGTAAAGTCACGTAGAAGGGAAATAATAAAATAAAACATTTCTATTTTTATTATTTTATTATTTCCCTTCTACGTGACTACCGAAAGAATCAAAAATACGAGCACTGTTGCTGTGTTCCACGCCTACTAACTACGCGCAGAAGCCGCGGTCCACTGCCAGCTGAACCAGACAAGACAGCGACCCCGTGGCCGCAGACAGAAGCGATGGGCGAGAGCGGGCCGGAGCCTGCGGCCTTGCGCGCCTGGGCTGTGCTTCCGGCGGCGGGGAGCGGTGAGCGCCTGGGTGGCGGCGCCCCCAAGCAGTACCGCGCCGCTCTCGGCCGGCCCCTCATCGCGCACACGCTTATCGCCTTCCTCAGGTCTGAGCTTGCTTTTTTAGCGCTTTGATTTTGTGTATATAAAAAAAAAATTCCTCGGGAAATGACGTCACTCCATTGCGTAGGGTCTTTCGCCGTGTCGGGTGACGTCACCGTAGTCAGGATTTTGTTGCGAGATTTAAGATGACGTCATAGATTTTGTGGTCTGCTTTATGCGTGACGTCACAATTCCCTTTTGCGTTACGTCATAGATTGGTGTATGGCGCCTAAGATTTCCGTTATGAGGCCAAACCAATCGACGACCAAATTAAAAAGCGGGGTTACGGAAAGGTTTCTCTACCATCGGCAACGTTATCAACCAGATTCCGGAAAACACTCGTGAATTTCATTTACCACTGCGCTTAGCTCTAGATTTGAAGCTTTCGTGACTGCAAGGATTTATACTCTTAGGTTTTTTCGGTAAAGTCACGTACGTAGGTAAAAAAACAACACATTCTTAAATAACAATGCCATAATATAGTTTTTTTTGGGTTCGATCGGGTAAATATACATTTTATATAAATTGATGCCATCTAACCCAAAAAAAACCTATATTATGGCAGTGTTAATTTATATAAAATGTATATTTACGCGATCTAACCCAAAAAACCTATCTTATGGATTATATTGGTCGCGAAAGCCTACGTGTTAAACTAAATAACACTGGCCTGAAAATTAAAATATATATCGGCGACGTTTCAAGCAGTGGCTCTTCTCCAAAACACAATTGTGCTTTTGCATTGCTGCCAACGCAGAATCACAATAATTAGTTTAGCTTTTGTTGTCTGTCTAAAAAATTTTGACTCTGAGGAAATTAATTTAGTCATCAACACTTATAAAGCAAGACCTCAATTGAAATCGAAATCATACATCCGTTTTGAAACAAATAGACTGATTGATACCAAATAAATATGAGAACAGTTATTCTTTAGTTCTTTCGGTAAAGTCACGTAGGTATTTATTTTATTTTCTACCTACGTGACTTTACCGAAAGAACCAAAGAGTATGGATTCCTGTAACCTCGAAAGCTTCAGATCAAGAATGAGAACAGTTGTCGAGCACATGGACCCGTGCACTCCGCTGTAGTAACGAAGGCTCTTTGTCGAAGCCCTTAGTGAAATGTTCTTCGTTCATTTCTTGTAAAACAGCTTAAGGCCGAAATATTCTTTCCCACATAAACAAAATCAATACTAAAAACATTCTCCCTTGTCAATGACTGACTGCTGCTTTCACTCTTCAAAATAAATATGCTCATCGATCTGTGTAGACTGGAGATGCGGTAGCATTTAATTCTCAATGTGAATCCGTATTGCTTTGCATTCGGTGGATTCATTTTGCGTGCACTTTTTGGCCATTGCGAGACTAACTAACTAAATGGCGACGGCTTGAGAGATGGTGACGGCTTGTGGAAGCCATCATCCAGCAGTGGATTGATCATGGGTTCATGGCTGATAATGCTGTTTGTGGTTATGAGAGATGGCACTGACCTGCAGGTCACCCTTGAAAAAAAGCTTTTTAGCTCAAAGGGCCTATCCAGGGTGAGCAAAAATAAGCAAATTAATGAAGAGGTCTTCATCCAGCGGTGAATTGAAAATGATGGATAATGATAATGATGTTGGTTATTGTGAGAGATTGCTATGGATTGGTTAGGCATGCATCCAAACGTGTATTAATCATAGCTAACGATGGTGTATACACACGGTTGACCGTGTGCATATATACCAAATTGTGTGTGTGTGCAAATCCGTGTGTTTGTGTATGCGTGAATTTGTTGTGGTGGCTGATGACGATCGATGTGCTTGCGGTGTCTGTGTATGTCTTCTTGCGGGGCCCCCCCCAACCCCCCTCCCCAACATCTCCCCAATCCCCCCCAAACCCGCCGCCGCAGCACGCCGTGGATCGAGCACGTGGTGGTCGTGGTCGCAGCAGACCACATGGAGACCTTGAGTTCGTTCCTGGAGCGTGATGGCCTGACGTGCGAGGGCCGCGTGACGCTCACGCAGGGAGGCACCACGCGCCACCGCTCCATCAGGGCCGGCCTGCACGCGCTGGCCCGCCGGCCCGGCACGCGGCCGCACGTGGTGATCTTGCACGACGCCGTGAGGCCCTTCGTGGACGTGGAAACGCTGCTGTCAGTGGCGCAGGCCGGGCGGGATGTCGGGGTGGGTGGCACTAGTCTCCGGAGTGGTGCGGTGCGCCGTGTCGTGGTGCGACGAATCTCACTGTGACCCAATGATCCTGTAGCAAAGCAATCAACTCACTTGAAATGTGGTGAGTTCAAATCGTATTCATAAACTCGGCTTCTCATCCCTCCAGGGTGATTCAAATATAAACTATTTTAAAACTATAAAAAAAAATTCCTTCTACGTGACTTTACCGAAAGAACCAAGAAGATATAAAAAAAATGTTTTATCCAGTAAGGCCCACTGAGCTACATAGCTCTTTTTCAAAAGCGACCTGGCCACAAATGTTATCTGAACCAAAAGTGGCTTATGTGAAAATGTATACCAGCCAAATACTCTAAACACACGTTTCTAAATGTGGAAGGAAAAACCAGAGGACCCAGAGAAAAATAAACGCGACCACGGGGAGAACATGCAAACTCCAAATATACAGGCATCAGGCTCAGTATTTAACCCACGACCTCCTGTATACCAGGCGAGGTAGTTAACATCTTGCCACCGTGGTGTTCTGGAAAGTCAATTGTATGGCCTTTGGACAAACATGTCTGTTATTGGAATATGGAAGTTATACCACTGGCTGAGGACTACCATGGAACTTGAGGCAGCTTAATGCTTGATTGAGCATTGAAATACTTTAAAATTACTGCCATTGGATTCTCGCCGCCAGACTAAAGCACTTCAACATGTTAAAGTACATGTTAAAGGATAATAGCGGATTATGTTTATTTTGGTTGCGGAAAAGACAGACTAACATATAGGTTTGCTGTATTTAGCTGGCGAGCCAAAACGTTTGAGGGTTTTAAATCCTCAAGCTGTGTAATTGAGGCAGTGTGAGATCACTAAAGTAGCAAAAAAAAACATTTGTTTTATTATCAGTTTGTAAATATTTGGATAAGCCATGATAAATGCCCTAGGGTGGTGGGTGTTGGCACAGTGGTTAGAATGTTGCTGCGCTATGAGCTCAGCATTCTGAGTTTGATTCTCAGCCAAGGCTAGTGGCAGGTTATACATCAACCAGTCTTCGCAGCTACCCCTGCGCTCATTTGCACTGACCAGCATGGTGAAATGTGGTCAAATATTGCCCATGAATAACATGGTTTGGAGAGCTTATGGTCCAATTGTATGAGAGGCCATGATGTTCAATGCAAGTGGTGCAATTGGATACATTTACTTAATGTACAAAAATCTGATTACCCGGGCATTATTCCTTTCAATCCAAGGCTATACACACTTAACAAAATGCAAAATCTACCAAAACAGCTTTTCATTAACTAAAAACCAGGACAGTGACTCAATAATAAAACAAAACGTCCAAAAAGATTCTGACAAACAACAATGAACCCCACGGTTTATGGTGTTCATGAAACCGGGGAGCAGAGGAGACTTATCAGTCGTAAAAGATGCACACCCCTGATGTGCAATTGCTCTCACTGGGGAGAAAAGCAGAAACATTGTCCCAATTTGCTAGCAACAAACTGCTCCCAATTTTTCACAGACATCAAATAACAGACGTGACAAGCCATAATCAAGCCACAGCTCCAGCGCACCTGCCGAGATAAGATGCGGCGATAAGCGGTGCAGGCGTATTCATTAACACGTCGAGAGAGCCGTCTTTCTGGCGACGCAGAACTGACTGATACGCCCACACACATGCAGTCTGCGTGCATACAAAAGGAATGGAGAGAGATTACCTTGGGCACCATTGATTCTCTGTGGGGTTTTTTGTGGCTTTTTTTCTGCCACTGCCGTCGCACCACAAGCATCACGGCGATTATGTAAAAGGTCAGACCGTGGAGTTTGTGAATTTAATCTTGACGAATCGGGCACAGGGCAATGCACATCCTTTAATTGCAGGCCTCCGTGAATCCAGAAATGCTTTCATGGGACTGTGTTATCTGCTCCCGCGTTGCTCCGCAGATGACGCAGTCTGACATGGGTGAATAAATTGTGATTTGGAGATCGTATTGTCTGCAAATAATGCAGCCCTAATTGCGTTTGTTGACAGGTGCGATACGACTGTGGTAATTCACTGGAGGGGTTCATATTTACCCAGCATAGGGTGTTTTTTTAAAAGTTACACGCTGCTTTACGGACACGTTCGTTACCATACCTCCCACGCCATCATAAGTCGCGGGAAAACAACTGCACGTTGCAGTAAACAATTTTGTCAGACATTGGGAGTGCCCATGAGAAAAAGGTCTGTACATTCCGTAGCCACTTGAGTGATCGCATGTTTATATCGTTGAAAGCCTTAATCCACCGAACAGCGAGGTTAAGTTGACCTGGCACAAGCCTTGGTTTATTGGTGTTTATTCCATTTTGACGGCTGTTTGTTTTCTGGGCCGGGGTTCATTTGTCTTCAGGTTTTTTTGCACTTGCTTTATAATTATGGCCGTTTGTTGTATGTTTTGAGGCAAAGTTTAAAGGAAATATTGTGCAAATCCACTTGGTCCTGGCTGAATATTAACGACACCAGAGCAGAATTTTCAGTCGCCTTCTCGATGCATCGCAATCTTTGTAAGAAAAATTTAACTTATCTATTCACGTTTTCAAATAATATTTGATTTCCGCGACTAAAGGTTTTGGGAGAATATGAATACGTGCATGATATAGTCTTAAGTAAAAACTTTGGATTTAAGTTTATCGTCCGCTTATTATAGATGCTCACATTGCATGGAGGAATCCACACAGACACACGGACATAAGCAAGCCAATGTTATCTCGAAGGAGCGGAAAAGGGAATCAAGTAGATTAGAGACTAATCCGTCATCTCTTGCAGTCATCGTCAACAATGAAAACTGGTAGACTTGGTCAGGATGCGTGGCTTACGTAATTTAATTGGCAATTGGATTGACGCATCAGGAGATTAATTGCTGTAAGAGAGAGCGCGCAAGGGAAGCACTGAGATTTCTTGGAGAGGTGACATCATAGCATGCAGCATTGAGATGGGTGGTGTTATCAGCATTGGGATGCCTTGTATATATGTTGAACTTCCTTTGCACCGTACTTAGCCAACCGTGCTAATTGGAGGTGTGGGTGAAGGGCAACAAACTGAACATAAAAAAAACAGTTCTAAGGAAATAAGTTTTCAATTTAGATTTAAAAGTGCATAGCTCCAGTGGCTTCCTAATATCGGAAGGAAGATCATTCCAGACGGCCACAGAAGTGCATCTGAACGTGTGCCTTCATCAATAGATGATAGTTGTTTTTTTTCTAGAGACTTCTGTCAATCCGCTGATGGATGGGGGCCTTCCGATGCTAGATTAGTCGTGGGGAATGTTTAACCATACTTTGCCACGCTGGTCAGTATGGTTTGGTGAAGATGTTTAGGGGAGTGGGCGGAAAAGAGGGGTGGGGGGGCACGCAGGAGCAGTTCAGAGATGACTCGCCAGCGATGTTTCGGACTCGGTTTTGGGGATTTCATAGCGACGTGTGCCAACCACTGTGCTATCGCTGCCTCACCCCATTTGTTTAAGTTATTGCATTACAAAATATGTTAATCGCGATTCTGTGACCACAATGTGAAGAATTGCATCTCTATATCCTGTCTGTAAGAGGTTTGCAGTGGTGGGAGACAGCTAGTTAATGTAGCTGTGTTGGTTCTGCATCAGCTGCAAGCAATTTGGATTTCTTTCAGCAATAGAATGGCTTCTTGTGGCTTGTTTTTTTTAAATCACCTCCTCCAGAAAGTGTAGCACATTCCTTGCAGATGGAAACCAGGCAGTTTAATTTCTGGAGCACGAGTTAAGAGGGCAGGGAGGTGTAACCGTGCGTTTCAATCAAGGAATTAATCTCTCTATTTAAACTTTGACTATTATCAGTATAGTGTATTTTAAGAGAATAAATTATGTACTGTCATTTAAATCCGTGAATGAAAGCAAACGATAGTAGTGGTGCGGCAGTTAGCGCACTGCGCTATGAATCCGGCGAGATTAGTTTGATTCCTGACCACGGCTGACATCAGTGGTAAGTGATATCTGAATCGTGCCTGCCCCAACCCAACCAATCTAAACTGACCGGCGTGGTGAAGTATGGTCAAACAACCCCCCCCCCCCGCCCCATTCACTAATACACATTGACCAGACTGGCCTGGTCAAGGTTGATCAAACAACCCTCATAATCGACACCTTATCGATGTGTCAGCTCATCGATTAAGCGCAATGTTCACTGTCACCATATGTGCATAGGTCTGTTCATGTAAGTAAGACTTGATTGTTTAAGGTGTATGGAAATTATCACGTGTACATTTTTATATTAAGGCTAATGGTGGAGATTAAACTGCACAAACGAGGCCGAACAAATAAGAAGCAACGAACAACGCAGTACAGGGAGGTTGTCATCCAGCAGTGGATCGACACATAGCTGTAAATTATAATTTGAAATACAAAGGTGTGTCTCTGACCACACCACGTCCATGTGTGCTGTACCTGCCTTAATAGATCCTTGCTCATGGCACTTGACCCAGCAGTGGGTAAAACTACACAGTGAATCTTTGTCTCTTTGTGTATCAAGGACTGGCATTGAGTCTTGGTGTGATGACGCACACGCATACGCACACACACATGCATGCCACACATGCCACACGTACGGTCACAAACGCACACAGCACAAAACTGAATTCTGGCAGGCAGAGTTCTGCCATCAGCGATGTAACGAAGTGCAATGATGCATATTTTGATGTGGTATACTTGACGGTAAATGTGTGTGTATTTATTTATTTTGTGATTTATGCGTATACACGGGATGTTTCTGTGCACATACTTATTTTTTCTTTGTGCATGTACGATAGCGGACGTGCATTCAGTTTCCGCGCACTTTTTTCGCGTGTCTTTGGGGAGTGATGGCGCAGTGGTTAGCGCAATGCTTTATGAGCGTGACCGAAGGTTGCATTGTATTCCTGTGTGTAAGTGGGTCTGTGTGTGTGGGGAGTGGTAGTGTTGTGGTTAGCCTGCTGCGCTACTAACCCAGCGACCCAGCCATCACTAGTGACAATTGTCTAAACTGGTCCTGGGCCTCCTCCAAGTCGACTCAGCCATAAATGGGTACCTGTTGCGGTGTGTAAACATCGCTGCTAGGGAGACAAAGGCGGCCAGGCGTTCTGGCCGCCCACCCGCTCATGCGCCATACTGGCCTTAATAGGTGCTCGCGAATAGCACTTGGCCCGACAGTCTGTTTAGGCTATACAGGGGATCTTTGTCTTTGTGCGCACAGGCGGCCGGCATGGTGCGACCGCTTGTGTCCACGGTGTTGAGCGTCTCGACGGATGGCACGCTGGACCACGTGCTCAAGAGGTCACACTACCGCGCCAGCGAGATGCCCCAGGCGTTCCGCTTCGACGTCATCTACGACGCCTACGAGAAGGTGGGGTGTCCGGGCCACGTGGCGCTCAGTAAAGAAATAACTGCCGAACATCATCATCATCGTCATCATCATCTTCATCAGCCATGACCTGTCTCCTGTGGATGGGAGGCTTCGCCATTTCTCGCAGTCCTTTGACGTAACAATTCACTCGGTACCTCCACGTGAGATAATATTATCGCTCCATCTCTGTGATGGACGTCCTCTTGAACGCATTCCCACCCTTGGCTGCCATATTGTCGTTAGTTCCGACCACCGGCCATTGTGCCTTATAGCCATGACGTGCTCTGTCCAAGGGCACTTACTTTCTCAACAGTCAACATGATTTCTTTATAACACTGTGCTCTCTAATCCGCGTGTTCCTCGTTCTATCTGTCAATGTAATTCCAGTAATGCCTCTGTCCATATTTCTTTGTGCACTGTTCAACTTTCGTTCCGTTTTCTCTACCACCGTCCATGTTTCTGATCCATGGCACAGCAGATAGTACGCACCGACATGGTGCTCTTTAGCACGTCACTTTTCATGATCAGATTCAATTTTCCTTCTTCGGGACCTTTATTTGGTTAAATTCGTCTGTTGTTAGCAGTGTCAGTGGCTTCATCATGAGCGCTAGAGACACATACACTCACACAGAGACCCATATACTCACACAGACACAAATAGACTCACACAGAGACCTATAGACTCGCACAGAGACCTATAGACTTACACAAACACCTACTGAGAAACTATAATGCACTGGCAGTGGCTTCATCACCATCATTATCAGCGCTTACTGCAGCAGGCGGGCGCATGCAGCCCATGTAGCTCCCAGGAGAACTGGTCTGGTGGAGCCCAGCGATGGTGGTGCATCGTCATCCCATGTTACCTTTGTGTTCTATCCATCAGTTATTCCTCCTGCACGCTTTATCAGCCGAGGCTGATCACTTTACGTGGGGTTTGTAGCTACCCCAAAGTGTCGCCATGTGATTCATACAGACAACTTCATAACAAGTCGTCTGTTTATCAATGTGTTGTCTGGTCAACGGTGTTTGTGTTGAATATGACAGGCACTGGCGGTCATTTTGAACGTTAGGTTAATGTGACCGTTGGTTTTGGTCATTTAAATGACAGCAGTGGATGAGGAATGCATTTCGCAGTTAAATACAGCATCATACGTTTTACAAGGGGATATGAAGGCACCTGAGTGGAATGTTTCTCTTTGTGCGTTTGTGTATTCATGTTTAACAATAGACTGCTGTTTACAAAGGCTTTTGTCCCAAACGTAACTTGTTAAAACGCAAAAAACAGACTTTTGTAATGTTCCTAAACTGCCAATCAATCAATCTTGATGCCCGATAGTTCAGCTTACGTTCCTTTGAGATTTCACAACTGCTTCGAAATGTTAAAGGAACAGAGCTTAAATACTCCGTATCATATGTTTGCAAAGCTTTTATGCCGTAAAGATAAACCCGAGAAAATATCTTGACTACGTGGCCAGGAAAGCAGCACATTTGGCTTTGTTACAATACCAAACGGAGCCCTTTCGCAGCTTGGACACAGTCTCAAGTTTTTGTTTTGTGATGTAACACAGGAATTTTTTTAAAGAACAACCAAAAAAAAGTCTAAAATAACTTCCTGTTCGTGGCGATACGGCCCCGTGTGTTTGTTTTGACGCAGAGATCTGAGCATCGAATCAAGCAGGTGGAAAGTTCCTTGGGTGTTTGCCACCAATAATTCCGCAACGATTCGCCTCGCCGATATCACTGCCGACGTTCATGACCCCCTATCGCTGGCCTGCTTTGTGGTGCATTTCAAATCATTTGTCTAGCGGCCACGCAATCACAGCCGCTCCTTTGTGTCGCCTCGTGAATATGGCTTGCCATTGAGCGACAACAGTAGCCCCTTGTGTGCGTGGGTGTGTGTGCATGCGTGCGTACGTGTGGCGTGAAATACGGTGTATTTTTAGCCGTCTTTTTTTGTGTTCGTAATTTTAATTTTTTTTGTTTGCATTATCAAAGTTATCTTTATTTTAGTTCTGATAGTACCCTACATTTCTCACAGAGTGTCTGCCCTCAAGAATAAGGGACTTGTCAGCCATCAAGGCAGGCTCCAATTGCAGGTCATGCAGTAGTTAAAACAAAAACAAAATACGATCGTTCTAACGGTGATATAAGATATTTATTTTTTGGCGTGCTCTTTACGTGTTTTCAAAATCTCATTCAGGATCAACAAAATACAATGTTTATTGCTTATTTATCAAAGTTTTCTTTAAATAAATAATTACGATGATATAAAAGCTTCAGGCTGCATCTACAACTTTCTTGCATATCCTTATAGAACAGCAGTTTAAGATACCATATATCATGTATACAGGATGGAGCATTGGCACAGTAGTTAGATGGCTGCGATTTAAACTCACTAGCTGAGTTATAGTTTCTGGCCATGGTGGGGTGATTGAGATGTATATATATTTGGCAGGCAAACACGCATTGGCTTAAATAACTTGGCGTGACAAAAAAAAAACATCACAAAGATAATTAAGGCTTACCTTTGTATTCAGACTGCAAATGTAAAAAAACACAGTGTCTCAATATGGTTCCCTCTAGTACCCGATTAGTGCAGCAAAGATGCTTGCCGGTGATGAATAAATATCGTTTGCTCGCCATTTCTGAGTGGTAGAGGAAGCGTCGACATCTCTAATTGCAGTTCGAGTGAGAACGCCGCCGTGGGTTTGTTTTCAGATAAAGCTGTCTTTCAATTGCTCAATGGAAGGTAATTACGAAGCTCCGCGACTGTGACAATATTATTCTGGAGTGAAACGCGCAGACGTCTTCCTTCGGGAAAAAAAAAAAACGGTTTCAAGATGCATACGGGCCCCGACGGCCTGCGTTGCAGTTCCTCTCCGCGCAAGCCGTGCATCATCGATTGCATCAACTCGTCAACCCTGATGAAAGCAGCAGCAGCAGCAGCGCCACACTCAGACCTATGCCAATAGTGCCATTCGCAAATGTCCATCTCCACTGTAGAACTTGAGCCATTGGTGAAAAATCCACAAGGGGGGGGCGCTTGTGTAGTGGTTCACGCACTGCTGTACAATCCCAGCGACCTGAGTTTGTTTCCTGCTCATGGCTATAACATCAGTGAACCAGTCCTGGGTCCATCCCCCAACCCCTTCATGACCAGAGTGGTGACGTATGTTCAAACAACCCCAATAGCTTCGCACGGACGGCTGTGAATTAATGAAAGAGGCAATTTTTTCCACATTTACCCAAATCCTTTGTAGCTTACTCCGGTGCACGGTGACGACGCGCTGTTAGTGCAGCTGCACTCCTGTCAGTGCGTTCGGCCGATCGGTTATGACGAGATTGGCGATCGGTGAATAAATAAGCGTTTGCTCTCCTGATGTCTCAGAGGCGTGGAAAAAACCCCAAAAAAATACATTTTCATCGTTTGATGCCAAGGTCGCGCAAATGGGGCCCTCCACTTAAATGCGTGACGCAAGCACAGAGACACGTTCGTGTGACGTGCTGATTGTCACATGTCAGCTCGAGGGGCAAGATAGTGCAACATAATGGGGGCTTCTGGGGAGAGCTCACCACCCACGTGGGGCCAGATAAAGGGCATTCTTGTTAATGTCAGAAAATCAGCGAGCCATCTGGCCGCCGTGCTCACATTCTGTGTATTGTGTAGGTGGGAAAAGTGAAAAAAATATCCATAGATTTCACGGCCAACGCGATTGCAAAGATAAAGAATTGTTTTAATTTGAGAAATTGTTTGGGGTGTGGGGGCTATTAATTTGTGTTTCAGCAAACATGGTTTGGATTGGACTTTGTTGAATAAGGGCCAGCGAATTGAGAGATAAACAGTGAAATGACCCATCCCTCTTCCCACACTTCCCTTGCTTGCTCAGTAATTTTTACAAGATTAAAGCAAAAGCATCCCCGTAGTTATTGTATTTTGCGGTATACTGATCTGTGTTACAATGCTCCCACTTCGATCATTATCCTGTATCTAACGTCAACGTTAAGTCCCCGATCAGTATAAGTGTAGTGAGTCCAACTGAGTCGCAGACGTTGTCTGAGGAGCAACACGTTTATTAACTATTTGCACAACATACTCCAGGGCTATTAACACAACATACCCGTGGGTGGTGACCACCCAACTAACCACGCTACGGCGGAACTAGACACGGTTCCACTATCCCGGTCCGGACCACAAGCTGGGTTCTGGACCGCGTGGCTAGAGGCTTCTTCAAGCTTAACGTGTATCTCCTGCCTCCAACAGTAAGAACCCCGTGCCTCTCATGGGCCCCCCTTATATCGGGCTGGGGCTGGCTCCGCCTCTCGCCCCGCCCACCTTCTCGATCTCTCTCACCCTTGCCCGAAGGCTCTGGAGAGTTCTTCCCAGACCACGTGACCACCCATTGGCCCCCGCCACCGGTGGATCCCCTCCAGTATCATCCGGTCACATGTCCCCAGGTCAGCCAGAGTATCATGCCCCGTAACCCTAGCTGGCTGACACTCTCTCGGTCTCGATGGCAGCCCGCACCGCACGCTGTGCGTGGTGCCACCGCGCTTAACCAGCGCTCACCCAAGCCCCCACTGGGGCTGGTACTGCACCCCGTGTCCGGGGTGTACACACAACAGTATACATCCCGCCGTGGTCTCGCAGGCCCGGCACCACACAGTGACATTCCCAGTCACTACATAAGTACAAGAATGCACTTCTCCATACTACTGAGACAGAAAGAGGAACACGTGGATTAACGATCATACACAAGTTAGAGACATCAATGTTGACCGTTAAGAACTGTAACTGGGCTTGGGCAGGACATGTCGCTTAACGAAACGGTGGCCGTTGGCCGCGTCTAACGATGGAATGACATTCAAAGGAGGAAATGACATGCGAGATTACATCCACCGCGGAGATGAAGTGAAGATAATGGTTCTTGTGCAGATGCTAGATGAATCATTGCATCGCAAGACTGAGAGACGGCCGCAGCTTGGCGAGGACTTCATCCAGCAGTGGATCGACCATCGCCGATGATAATGACTTACTACATTCCCTGATTTACCATTTCCTCCAAGTCTAACACTGAATTTTGCTGGTCCGCTGTACATAATTGACGTTTCACCGTATACGGGCCAGGATATCTGCTGTGTTAAATCTTAATGACAGTTTTTTTTCTTCACATAAACCACTTCTTCTTGTGAATACAAGGCACTTATATAATGTGCACCCTCGCAATTGTTAGTCAAGAGTGTGCAAATACAATGCAAGGAATAAAAATAAAGAGTGGTGGAGCAGTGGCGCAGTGATTAGCGCACTGCACTACGAAGCCAGTAACTTCAGTCTGATTACCAGTCATGGATAACGTCAGTAGCGAGTGATATCGTAGCTGGTCCAGTGCAGCCTCCTTTACCAACCCGCACTGACCAGCATGGCGAAGTATGATCAAACAACCTCCGTAACTGACATGAGGTGGGGAGGCCCATCATCTAGCAGGGGATTGAATAACAGACTGCCAATTATCATTTAGTAATTATGAATAGGAACGAAATCAATGTACGGCCCATGGAAAAACATGCTTTTGCCCAACGCGACTATTTCGTTCGGTAGGTTTACCACTCTTGCTTTCCTAGCTCCGGTGCACCCTGCCAAATGTATTTGCCTTTCACTCCACCACTTTGCGGAAGTCTTCAAGACAAATTGATTGTATCCAGCTGCTGTTTGATTCCTCTATTTGAGTCCTGTATCCGGCCAGGTGGTGCTGTAGCAGAGGACTCAACTCGCACCCGGAAGGTTACGAGTAAACATCATGGTCACAGTTCAGCCTGGTCCGTCGTCCCCCATTGTGTGTAACATATGGACCATAGGAATGTGGAATTTCCACTGCCGGATCTCGTGACCACTAGTTCAAATGAGCACCGGCCTAAAGTCGTTTTGAGCTGGGAGACACTTTCACTTTTGAGTTGGATTTGAGGATTTGAATCATCTCCACAACTTTCAGGGAAGATGCCACATATACGTTACCTTTTGAAAGTACTAATCATAATCGAATTAGTGTCACGCTAATTTGTGTGACAGCTCTCAGTGCTGTAGCACCTTTTCGCACGAAATGAAATGTCCATTAAAAAAAAAGTTCAGGCTCTTCATATTTGTTAGCCAAGTTTCTGCAGCTGCGATTAAATTAGCCTGAATGCTCCAAGTCTCATCAGGTCTCAGAAGTCAAGGCCGGTTAGTACTCTGGAAGGTTAGTCTGGTTTGTATTTTCTGAAGCTTTAGCCCAGTTTGTACTGTGGAAGATTGGACCTGTTCGTACTCTGGAATATAGGCCTGGATCGTGAATGGAGGAGACTGCCAGGGGATTGCAAGTATCGTAGTCTCGGGGATGCGGAATGTGCTGGCAATGGAAGTTGATGAATAGATGCTGTAATCTCTTTGTGCAGAGTTTCACCTCCCAGCATGCATGGGTGTTCTCCGAGTGCTCCAATTTTTTCCCACAAGCCAAACACTCCTAAAAAAAATGTTAGCGAAACATCTCAATGCAGGAAGGACCTTTATATATATAAAAAAAAAACATTTTTGAGACTCGATCAGGTGTTCCTGTGCAAATAAAGTAATTATAATTTATGATAAAATTATATATACTTTTATCAATCTGCTGTGGGCCGAAGGCATCCTCCCTATGCCATGTCAGTCGTGGGTGTTGTGTAAGCTTCACTTCCCGTTGATTGGTATGTTAGCTGCGCCCAGAAATCTAACCCAGGCCGCTGGTTTCAGAGTTCAGTGTGCAAACTACTGTCCCACCTACATTAAAAGAATAATTATGATGATGATGGTGAGTTAATTGTCTCCCGTGCCATGTGTCCTGGCAGTGCTCGGAAGAGGAGCTGGACGTTGGCACGGAGTGTCTGCACGTGGCTCTGCACTACGGGGGCACACGCGCTCGCCTGCTGGATGGCCCCGACAACCTGTGGAAGGTACATAAGCCCTCTCTACCCCCTCCTCTACCCCTCCTGGCCAGTCATCCTCTCCTCGCTCGACCACTTCTCCCTCCCATGCCACCACGAAACGGGGCTTCTGCCCCGAGCCAGCCTGGCACGGCTGACGGACAGTTTTGTCTCGTCTCCTTTAGCCGAGCTTATAAGGCTCCTTTTGACCTCTTGACCCTTTTGCTCGGCAATCCCCCCCCCCAATGCTTGCCTCCACCCCTCTCGACTGCGTAAAGGCTCCATAGTGTAGCACAATGAACCCGCTCCTGGTTTCTCGCTTCCCCATAAAACCTGGAAAACAGCGAATCATCGATCGCTTTCGGGCATCGCATCCCCCGACGTGCTCGCCCGTCTTCCGCGCAAGACAGCTCCACCTGCGACCGCAGAGCAGAAGAAACAACGGGGCTCACGTGAAATTTCAATTTAAAGCTTTCGTGACTGCAGGGATTCATCTTCTTGGTTCTTTCGGTAAAGTCACGTAGAAGGGAAGTAATAAAATAATAAAAATAAAACATAATAAAATAATTCTCACGACGTTTCGGCCACAACGCAAGCAGCCGTCTTCAGGTGAAGAATGAGACACTACCAAACTAGGAGCTTATATATAAGCTGCGTTGGAGGTGGAAGAGCGCCTTAACAAAAATAATGTGCATATGAAGAGGAATTTAGCATATTCATGGAAAATGCGTAGGCGTTGGGCGGGGGGGTTTCAAAGTCATATTATGCCCATGCATAATGCAGGATTAGCAGCACCAAGGGGGGGTGCAGGGATTAGCAGTAACAAAGGAAAGGAATGTTAATGATATGTATCTGCAGTTACTCAACAACCACGTAGAAAACTAAAGTATAAACTACATAAAAAACTAAAGTATAAACTGCTTAGCACCATCAGTATACTTACTATACTCTACAATAAGCTGAGTTACTAACAGCAAGTAATACATTACAATTCTACGTCGTAAAAATTCTATAATATGCTTCCATCAAACTTTATTCTCTTACATCAAACGAGCATATACCGTACTATATACTGCCATAGATAAACCCAACATTAAATTATATACTGTATTGCTGTAAACCAACCTAATGTTGGGTTTATCTATGGCAGTATGGCAGTATATAGTACGGTATATGCTCGTGTGATGTAAGAGAATAAAGTTTAGATGGAAGCATATTATAGAATTTTTACGACGTAGAATTGTAATGTATTACTTGCTGTTAGTAACTCAGCTTATTGTAGAGTATAGTAAGTATACTGATGGTGCTAAGCAGTTTATACTTTAGTTTTTTATGTAGTTTATACTTTAGTTTTCTACGTGGTTGTTGAGTAACTGCAGCTACATATCATTAACATTCCTTTCCTTTGTTACTGCTAATCCCTGCACCCCCCCTTGGTGCTGCTAATCCTGCATTATGCATGGGCATAATATGACTTTGAAACCCCCCCGCCCAACGCCTACGCATTTTCCATGAATATGCTAAATTCCTCTTCATATGCACATTCTTTTTGTTAAGGCGCTCTTCCACCTCCAACGCAGCTTATATATAAGCTCCTAGTTTGGTAGTGTCTCATTCTTCACCTGAAGACGGCTGCTTGCGTTGTGGCCGAAACGTCGTGAGAATTATTCTATTTTATTATGTTTTATTTGTATTATTTTATTACTTCCCTTCTACGTGACTTTACCGAAAGAACCAAGAAGAAGGGGCTCACGTGGTCACCTACCGCGCGCCCATCAAGAGCATTTAGCGGTGGCAATCCAGCGCCGTCAAAAGGCTAAGGGGATTCGAGACATCGCTTCTATAGCTTTCGTTTCCATTCGAAAAGTCGCTGGCTTATCTCTGCGACGTGCCGTACGCAAGAAGACGATGCGCGGTGCAAGTTGGGTAAACGCGACGAGACTTTTAGGAACGCCCGAGGCTAATGCTGTGCTTGTATTTGACTTTTCAGCAGCCGTTCTCACTTAAAGGCCCACTCTCAATGTCACTCGGCAGCACAGAGCATATTTTATGAGGCTCATCTTTACGAGACGTCTGCAAAGGACCTCTTGTGCTGTTTAATTTCGTCTTTGGGTTGCTTATTACCCTGGACTAACCGGCATGCTTTAGTGAGGTATTTTTCCGGTCCTTTATTAAATAACCGTTTGTTTTAAAAAGGAACTTGTGGTGAAAGTCGGTGTAGAATGTTGATCTCTGTTTTCTGTCCAGGTGACTTATAAAAAGGATCTGTACGCTGCGGAAGCCATCATGAAAGGTATGCAGCGACACGCGCGTTCCAGACTTTGTGTCGTGTGCCGTGGTGATCAATGCTGTACAGAGACAAAGATCCCCCGTAAAGCCTTCACAGAGAGCATCTATGAAGGCCGGCACGGCACACAATGGGCTGGGTTGTCAGAACCATGTCCGGCCACCTTTGTCTCCTGAGTGGTAATGTTTAGCCACCGCACATGGTAGTTATTTGAGTCTGAGTCGACCTAGAGGAGGCCCAGCACCGATTCAGATAATTGTCACAGGTGTTGATGGCTGTGAGTGGTAATCAAACTCGGATCACCGGGTTCATAGTGCAGCACACTAACTGCTACACTACCGGTCCCCCAATGTCGTACACACACACACACACCGTGCACACTTTGTATGTACAATGCACACATGCTCAAAAAAAACACACACAGAGGCGATTTATCAATTTTCCTCGGTTTATTTAACGTCATGAAAACGCCCGAGTACTGGTGAAAAGAATCCCCGCTATAATTGGCGGCTCTGCGGAATTGCATTCCAGCGCAGATTGGATTAGTGGTTCATATGTAGGATGTGTTGCTGCTTTGGAAGAGCGTGACACAGGAAATAGCACACTTTGAAAGCGGCAATCTGTAACATTTGCCTGGGGGGGGGGGGGGCGGTGCGGAGGGGTGCCAGCTGAGTTCATTCTGGGTCACGACACATTTATCGGGGTTAGGGTCAACCAGTCAGTTGCCTATGACCAAAATCGTTCGGAATTAACCCGGTCTGGTTGTATCTTATAAGCTCAGGTGGTTTGAACCTGGACAGCGCTTGGATGGGCGACCACCGTACATGAAGCAGCCACTGGAAGCTGCTGATGGGCTCGGTTGTCAGCAGAAGGGAGTCCAGCAAAATCCAGTGGCATTATTACTCTGCTGCCCGTTTACACCCAGGAAAGGCTCACGACTCTTTTTCAGGAGGTTCTACTGCCAAGTATTTTGCAGGACCCTTGCTATGGAGACTTTTATTGAGTGATTTGCAGGTAACTTTTCAAATTTGGAAAAATTTGGACGGTGACTCCAGCGCTCGATGGCCTCCTCTTGTCACTGGCGTCCCGGGATCTTTAACGTTTGCTGTGAAGCAGACCACGTGTATTTTCACGGTTGCTTCACCCGCAGTACTGATTGGAGTGGCCACTGGATTCGAACTATGAACATCTGCGACAAGCGACGAACGTGCTACCACTGGGCCGAACGTGCTACCACTGGGCCATGTCGCTGCCCTCGACAGTGTTGTACTGTACTATGCTCCGACGTCTACGCTGTCTGCCTATACCAACCCATACTGACCAGCTTGATAAAGCATGGGCACGATAACCCCCCCTCCCACGACTTAAGCGTTGTCGAACGGCCCTCATCCAGCAGTGGATTGACAAGGGGCTGTACGCGTAGTCAATCAAACCAAACCCCAGTGGTTTCATATGGAGCAACCCGTTTTTTTGTTTCCCGTCACGAGAACGTTAAATAGGGGCTTGCATTGTTCTGCGGTGAAGGGGCACGAAGTCGAGGTGCCACGCTTTACTTTAATGTCACTCATGGGTATTCTTAGGGCTCAAGCCGTGACTGATGGAGTAAGAGAGTACTTAGCGTTTGGCGCAGCGTCAAGAAGTATTATATTGCCGGTGCATTACAGTAATGTGCTACGTAGGAAAATGATACAATAGAAACACCAGCCTATGTTATATTTATCTTCTTCTTCTTGAATTCTCTGCCGAAGGGCAGGTTCTTTGTGTCACGTTCACTCCCCCACTATTTGATCGAGCGCTCTCCTTTTTATTCGGCATAGGCACCGCCTGTGCACAAGTCACCGAGCGGCATCTGCCTCTTTCTACCTCCTGGCCTGTTCCCCAACATCCCGAGCAGAGCTTGAAATTCAGCCAAATTAAGTGCAGAATAAAATTTGACGTGATGGGGTTTTTGTTGTTGTGCGCAGACCATCAACTCGCTACACTTGAGAACCCGATTTAATTTGTCACAGATGACTGAAATCTGGATTTGAACCCAGGGTCTCTGCAGTGGCAGCTCAGTGCTCTGTCCTCTGAGCCACGTGACCTTTTCTAGACGTCAGCGCTTCTGAACCAAAAATATAAAATAAACTATTGTTTTACCATTTAAGGCCCACTGAGCTATATTGCTCTTTTTCAGAAGCGACCTGGCCACAAATGATAGCTCGACGAAGTGGCTTATCATGTGAAGATGCATTGCAGCCAAGTATTCGAAACACATGTTTCTAAATGTGGAGGGGAAAAAACAGAGGACCCACAGAAAAATCAACACGACCACGGGGAGAGAGAGAGAGACACATGCAAACTCCAAATATACAGGCTTCAGGGTCGACATCGAACCCACGACCTCCTGTGTACCAGGCGAGGTAGATAATATCTCGCCCCTCTGGTGCCCTGAACCTGCTCTGGCACTCTGCACATTTACCGTTGGCTTTTATCGACGGCATTTTTTTCCATTTGCCGTGATATCCACATCCCAAAACTTGTTAACAGTCTAATTCAGTTATTTATCAACACCATTCAAGTCGCCCTGTTTTGTCAACATGCGTAGCGGAAATGTGACTTCAAAAGAATTTGGAATATTTGGGTTTCACTGCATACGTCCTTTGCCACGTGATGCTCACGATGGGCAGCAGGATGATGCACTGTTGACTCTTGAGCCTCACAGCAAGAAAGTCCTGGGTTCGATTCCCGACTCGTGTGCCTTCTGCGGGCAGATTGTAGGTTTTCCCCCTGTCCTGCATGGCGTTTCCTCCTGGACTCTTCGGTGGTTTCCTCTCGCCACTAAAGAATCAGAATCTTTGTTTAGACTGGAGGAATCCGATGAGCTATGAAGCTCTTTTTCACAGGTTTCCTGCAAATATCTTGCTTCATTGTCCCGCTTGTTCACCATTCCCTCGAAGCGGGCGTGAGTCACCCCGACCATTCGTCTCTCACTGTCCACAGGATAGGCAAGCAGCCTTCTCTACCACCGCAGTTCCAACATCTGCGCGCCCATTTAAGGTCCTTGCAAAACCAAAAAAAAACACCAAGGGATGGGGAAGGAAACGGGGAGAGAAAGCATTGGGGAAGGAAAGAGGCGTTTATTCAACCGTTCGGACGTTGGAGTCGCGCTCGCCGCTTGAAAGCAAGCCGAGGCTGCAGGCAGACGTGGCCCTCCGCTGGCATTTCCAGGCACATCGCCGCCGATGCCCTCCTCGCACGCGCCATCATCTCGCGGGACGCAGATCCTATCGTCGGCCGATTTTAGTTTTCTGTTTTTGCCGCTGTTATGTCGTGCAGCGGAGCGAGGCACGGCAACGAAGTTTGAAGGGGGTGGGCGGGTTGGCTGCGCAGTTGGGGGGGGGGGGGCGGAGGCGTTGGGGAGGGGAAGTCTTAGGGGGTGCACCGGGGGGGCTTCGTTTGTCGGGAGAGGCGACAGCCGTGCCCGTTTGGGGGATGGCGGAGACATCGCGGAGAGGACGAGGCGCTGGTCGGATGCGCGCCGATGCGATATGCGGGGGTGGGTGACAGGAGTGAGTGCGTGCGTGTGCCGTGAAGGAGGAAACAAAAGCACAAACATAAAGACTCGGCAGAGAGAGAGAGATGGTCGCATGTCACGCGAGGTGCGACATTGGCGCTTTGGTTTGGTTGGTTTCGTTTGTGAACAATCGTGAGGCTAAATCCATCCCAGCAATTTCATGAAACGCAATGGTAAACTCATCCGAGGGCCAACTGCATGCAGGCTTGAGAACACATTCGACTAGCGATGCATGCGAAAGGCTTCGTGCGACATACGAGATGAAGCTAGTTGTAACTACTGGCGAAACGTCGTACTCACATTTTAATGTTGTGGTTTGGCTCTCCAACACATCAGTGTGCTGTACTAGCGACGAATTGTCACGTTCTGTTTACGTGACAAACCTTAATAATTGGCGGTGTCGGGTAGTGGCAGGTTTTAACGACACATATATATATTTACGCGATCTAACCCAAAACAACCTGAATTATGGATACACGAGTCTCAGTCACAATCGCGCCTTCTGCCGTCTAGAAGACACCCCTTGTGGGTATTGCTGCAGCTGTGGCTGAGAGAGGGGGCTTCAGTCTCCCCACGGTGAGACTGCAATCGCTTCATCGCCGTTCTTGCCTATTCGTCAAACAATCCCGCACATCAGCGTTTGGCCGCACGCTTCGAAGAAACGATGTCTTGTAACAGGACGAGCATGCGCTCAGGAATAGGCAATGACGAGGTTTGTTCAAATGTTGCTTGGTCAGTGTGGCCATACTGTCGCTCATACGCTGCGATGTAATATGGTAAAGTAATGATAACAATGATAATGTACAGCCCTTTGTATGTATGTATGTGCAACTTATTTTGCACCGTGCATAGCCAACCGTGCTAATCAAAGGTGCGGGGGAAGGACAACAGACAAACTTGTCAGATTACTGTTGGATGAAGGCCTCCCCACGCCGTGTCAGTAATGGGATTTGTTTGGTTAGTGTGGGTTGATGAGATGATCGTGGGCCTGGGGGTTGGGGGCGGGAGGCAGCAGGGCCTGTTCAGATATCACCCGCCACTGATGTTAGCCGTGTATGGCTAGGAATAAGACTGAGGTTTATGGCACCGGTGGGCACACCACTGCGTCACAGCACACCCGTTCATCGTAAAAGAGAATACAGTTCGGAGTTAGAGGCGATAAAAATCCAGCTGCGCATTATGGTGCTGTACAAATTACAAGTAGAACATGCACAGCTGGAGAGAAGAGGGGATTTTTAAGTGTTCTTTTTAGAGCAGGTTTTCGTACGTGGGTTGTGTTTTTAATGAGCTTTCATGAGGTGTTTATGTGCTGAAGAAGGGCTATTGTCCGAAACGTCATCTCTTGTACATGTTTTCCTGTTAAGGCCCACGGTGCAATTGGCGGACGTAATGGGTGTTTTTTTTTTGTGCAGGGAAAGATGAGGCGTACAATGCTTATAGGCCGCCGAGGGAGTGAAGTCAACATTGTTGGCGAAGTGCGAATGAAGACGCTTCGTAGAGAGGGAGACGGTCATAGGCAGATGGGAGCAGGAAAACACTCGGCCGAGTGTTTGGACTCGCAAAGCGTTTGACGGTTGGCAGCCGATGCGTGACTGCTGCACTTGTCGGTGCAGGTTGTTAAAAGGTATTATGATGGTTGGAGGAGGCCTTCATCCAGCAGCGGATAAATCATGGCTGATGATGATGATGGTAGAATCTTAATGCGAGCGCTTTGCAAGATGCTCTACGAATAGGGGTAAAGCCACGGACGGGTATGTGGGAAGTGTTCGAGAGGAGGCGAATATTTTTAATCTCTCAAGCAAAAGTTAAGGGTCTCATTTTGGCTCAACTCCAGTTGGTGAAAGCCACTTCTCTGCATCGGGTCGCCACTTCTGCCTTCCTGCCGAGCGATAGCTTGTGTACTCGTTTCACCGAGCCTCAGAGGAGGGATTCTGAATGAAGTCGATTTTCAACCGCGATTTGACCTCTCGGCATTCCAATTGTGTGAGTCGCTCGCTGCGACCGCTGCGCCACCCGCCCAGTTCCTCCCATGGAGACGAACGATTTCCCGTGGTCGCGTGTCGGCGCGTGCGTGCGTGCGTACCCCCTCAATCTGGCCAAATTGCCCTTTGATGTGCGACTCGGATTAGCCTTGCTCCGAGCGGAGGTTACTTCCTGCGACTCGCGCCACCACCCGTCGTCCTCGCTTCCGCGGTTATCGCTGTTCCTCTGGGCACGAGTAACCGCGACCGGAGCAGGCACGAGCGAATGAGCCGGCGTTTGTTTACTCGCAGGTCACTCCTAAACAAAATACAATAACAGGAAGTGTTTTGTTGCTTAACCCATGCGACACCCCTCAATTGCCCTTCCTGTGTTGGAAGCACTCGTGTAATTAAACTCATTTCGACGTGGGCTTTTTCTCTCATTAAGTTTTCGTGGCAACAGTGACACGGCAGAAAAATTAAGAACCTCCATAGGTTTTTTTTTATGACGAACGCGGTGGGAGGGAGGGGGGGGGGAGACCCAGGACGGTTTCAGATATCACTCACTACTTAAGGTTAGCAGTGGCCGGGAATCCAACTCAGGTCATAGCGCAGTGCAAAAACCACTGAGGCAGTGCTACATTTGAATAATATTCGTGTAACATTGTATCAGTGGCGAGATGGTGTTTCCCTTGCTTCTTGGCATGCAGGAGGGTGTAGGTTTAAGCCTCTCATCGTGGTGGACAGAGTGGATTTTTTCCACATTTATAAACATTTCGCCGCTACTATAAATGCGCATGTACGAGTGAGCTGTCATGTGTAGGCCAGTCGCCTTTGAAAAAGAGCTAATATGTCAGTGAGCTTTACCTGGTTGAAAAAAAAAGGTTTGGTTTTGGCGTTCATTCATTCAATTACCCTTCACCTATTAAAAGAGAAACACTGAATATATCAGTTATGTAATTGTGCAATCTACGGGTAATTGCGGCTTCGCTAATCCAGCAGTGGATCACCGGAGGGCGGTAAGTTATAATTTAACACGCTGCTGCTGCGATGTTTCGCCACTTGTGGTAACACTCAACGTGTTAAGACGATGCTGGCAGGCCTCTGACGCAGACGTTGCGTTCATTACCCCAGATGAGTCGTGGGCGAGGGGGGAATTTTTCGTACTTGTAGTCAAAGGGAAAATATTCGTGACCAATTAGGGCTCGGTTGTCTTGCACAGGGGTCAAGGTGCAAACGAGCGGGAGGGTGGGTGAAAAACTCCCATTCTTGTAGAATCTAACAACAATAAGCATTTAAATGTGTGCAGTTGCTCAACACAAAACTACGTGTGCAGTGTGATTATTATTTATGTCAAGGGTTTCTGCCCCATGCATCCTACGAGATGTTGGGGTCATGATTTGTTGTTGTTACCGTACAGGTTGGTGAACGTAGCACCTCCTGTGCACTCGTCACGAATGAACCACGATACCCTGCTGATCTCGTCAAGGAGCACAAACCATCACGCGAACTCCGATCAGCCTCTCCAGCAGCGGCTGCTTTTGGCTGGCCATCGAACAAAGATGGTCACCGCATCGCGCGCTTTCAGATGCGCTTCTGCGGCCATCTGGAACGCTCTTCCTTCTGATATAGGAAGCCACTGGAGCTATGCATTCTAGATTTGAAGCTTTCGTGACGGCAAGGATTCATACTCTTAGGTTTTTTCGGTAAAGCAACGTAGGTAAAAATAAATAATACAAATAAAATAATAGAAATAATAATAATTTTATTTCTATTATATTATTTCTATTATTTTATTTTTATTATAAAAAATTTCCTACGTGACTTTACCTAAACAACCTAAGAGTATGGAGCTATGCACTTTTAAATGTAAATTAAAAACTTATTTCTTTAGAACTGCTTTTTGTGTTTCATTTGTTGTCCTTCCCCCCAACCTCCGTTTAGCGCGGTTGGCTACATACGCTGCGAAAGAAGTTCAACATACATACAAACCTCGAGTGGGCTGCCGAAGTGATGTGAAACATATTCCAATACTAAATGCATGAATGGGAAACAGTCAATCCGTACCCGCGCGAGCGTCAGGGCCGAATTAATCCTCTAATTGACACGTTGTTACATGCCCGGTAAATCGAGTGCTTTTTAAATAAAAAACCTGCATGAACTCAAGACGTGGCCTACGATCGTAATCCTAAGAAATCTACACGACTGCAAAGCACACACTTATGTTGCTCTCGCACTGGTATATGTAAGGCTTACACATGTTAAACGGTGTTCACACTCGGAGGAAACACAGAGTGCAATGGCTCCAATTACTCTATGATCCCGTCATGCAATGTGCCCATAAAATATCGTTTATCTGCGATCGCCTAGCCATTGCGAGATGCACTTCGCACAAGCGGTGGCGCCGTATGAAATGAAGCATATTATTTGGTGGTGACGCTGCTGCTGCTGCTGCATTCACAGTGGTGCAGAAGCACAATTATCAAACAAAAAACCTCAACACATTCGTCAATAACACTCTGGCCTTAAAGGGAAAACTACATAATAGGTGACGTTCGGGTCAAAGGCCCTTCTTCATAGCACGCAAATGTATGCTTTGAAGAATGACTAAAATGTCATCCTTCTTTAAAGGCCATGGTGTTATTGACGAATGTGTTGAGTTTAGTGGCGAATGATGGCTGCTGTTGTTGATGCTGATGGTAATGATGCTGATGGTTATGGAAGCGATGCTGATAACAGAGTGGTGCTGATGGCGACGATGATGCTGTGTGCTCTGTGCCCGTCGCCTCTCCGTGCAGAGTCTCTGCACCGTCGTGCCGGCTGGGTGTCCGCAGGGGACTGTGCCGCTCTCTGACGCCGCCCTGCAGTTTCACTCTGCCCTGGACGACTCTGTGGTGCTGGTACGGTCGGGGAGGGGATGGGGGCAGGGTGATGGGGGGGGTCACGACCCTGAATGCCTGATTCCTGGGGTGACAGGCTTACCCTGGCATGCTGCCTCCAGGCGGGATGATGCATAGACGACTTAGCAGTTGATCAGTGTCTACCCAGTGTGGTTATTAGAGTAGTAAATGTCATTTGTTGTGATACAGTTTAAGAGAAGAATATATTACATGGGTCACGTGTTTCATTGGGAATCACCTGTCCGCTCGCCTGCCTGTGGTTTCTTCTACCTGCCTGCTTAGTTGCATACCTACTTCTATACCTGCCTACCTACACACATTTTCACTAATCTCCCTATCCGCCTATCCTGCCGATCACCCACCAACGGACCTGTCTACGTATTTGCGTAACTGCCTGCCTGCCTGCCCACCTACCCAACCGCCTCCCAGCTACCTACCTCCTTATCACCGCACCCACTTGCATGCCTACTTACCAACCGACTCGCTCGCCTCCTCGCCATGTATAAAACGACGACTCCTAAGAACCGCCTTGCGAACTCTCGGCGGCAATTCTGTGGGTGCGAAGAATACCGCGACGACGGCTAGTGGGGGGGGGGGGACGGAAGCGACGCCTTCGTCCGACACGTCTAAGGCTCCGTCGGGTGCTCCGTCGAGCGTCGTGTTTTTCCGCGAATGGCCGATCGTGACGTAGATGAAAGGCGCGGCGGGAGCGGCGGCAGGGACGGCCCTCGAGAAACCTCTCTACCTACGACGGGGTGCCGCCCGTAGGATCGGGGCGCATTGACAGACTCACAATGGACGTGCCTTTTCTTTAGGAGCCACGAAGCCACTGTGCGTTTTGTGAGAAGGAGTTGGGCGGGCGGGCAGGCGGGCACGTGGGAGCCTCCGTACTCGCGCGCACGCGAGCATCCCGAGCCCGGGCGAAACGTGACGCCGTCGTTCTGGCAGCTCAGCTCCTTTTGCCTGCTGCATTCCAACTCGTGTTGACCAAACAGGGGCGCGCTTCAAGCCGGGGCAGCTTGGCTTCCCTAATTGCCGCTCGCCAACGTTTAGTCCGGTCACCCGTCTCACTTGACACCGCGTTCGTGTCGCGTTCTCATCGCGTTCGTAAAGCATCTTCTTCGCAAAGGCAGGCCGCACGCGCGCGGGTGTGCATGCGCACGCAACAATAAACAACTTTAACAAACGCACACGAGCACGCACAGACCCACGCCGTTCGGTCACGTGAGCGTGCACGCAAAATCAAAACAAATCATTACGAAGCAAGGGAAAAGAGAGACTAAGACACAGTTTGATAAAAGCTCGGTCGTGGAATAGGGGATTTGTGTGCCTGTGTTTTGAAGTCACCCGGAGCGAACTTGTAACCCCGAGCGGGCTAGCGTCTCCGGAAGGGGTTGGCGTTGAAGCGCGATCTCCCCTTTCATGTGGCGCCGTGCGGGTACCTGCGGGTTCCAGCGTCCCTGTCCTTCTCGCTTACACCACCACCGGCACGGCCCCCCCACAACCTCCCCCCTACCGACTCGCACGGACCCCCCCTATTGTGTCGCGCCGCTGTTTGCGACCCCCGGCTTCCTGTCCGATAGGGATCTAGGCCACGGCAACTGCCGGCAGCACGTGGGGACTGAACACACCGGCGGATCGGCTTACCTCCCGGAGACAGGGAGAAAAAAAGAAAAGCGAGGGGTTCAGAGACGATGGGAGGGTGGGAGATGAGCGGTCACTGCTGCGTGTGTTTACATCAGGGCCTTCGTTTTCACCCGGCTTTGTGATTGTGTAAAGGAGACGTGTGTTTAAGTGCGCATGCCGTGCAGGATTTCAGCGCGCGGAACTCCGCACTTGGTTTTCACGTCTCGCGGCGCAGGTAATTGCCGATTTTAGGCGCATCCCGTTACACCCGAGTACGTGACAGTGATTGATGCCTTAACGAGAATGTAAATTTAAATGATTACGGTCACTTTCTCACACGCGTATCTGTGCTATCTGAAGCTTGTGTTTCAGCCGGAGAAAGGGGTGAAGGTGTCGTGTTTTGGTCAACGTGGAACAGAAGAAAAATAGCTGTGCGGTTACGTCAGGCTTAACCCCGTTGCCTCCCAAGGGGTCACTTCAGAAAGCCCCCCCCCCCACCCAACCAGAAAAACCTAACTGATAATTGTAACTTGAATAAAACATTCTATATATATAAAAAAAATAAACGGGTAGTAACGTAATCACGATTGATTTAAAAGTCGTTTGTGGAACTTTTTTCCTTGAGTAAATTTTTGTTTGCCCCCCCCCTCCCCCCTCTCTGTCGTCAGGTGAAACGGGACATTGCCGGGGCGACGCACAACGGCCAGGGGACGTCGCTACTACAGGAGGAGGAGGCCCTCCACAGCTACATCTGTGTGCAGGTGAGCAAGCACAGCGCGCGCTCGCCGCACACCGAGCACCTCCACACCTGACAGGGGATTGGATATTATCCTGAGCTTCTTTCGCAGCGTACGTAGCCAGCCGTGCTCATCTTGCGCTGTGCAAAACCCTCATATGCAATCCAATAACTTTCGATTTAAAGCTTTCGTGACTGCAGGGATTCATCTTCTTGGTTCTTTCGGTAAAGTCACGTAGAAGGGAAATAATAAAAATGAAACGTAATTACATTTTCACGACGTTTCGGCCACAACACAAGCAGCCGTCCTCAGGTGAAGAAACGGAGCTATTGGAAAGACAGCGCTCCCTTCTAAGTGACTTTACCGAAAGAACCAAGAAGAACAATGCAATAACGTTTGGATTTTACATGGGGTCTAAATGTAATCGCATCTCAAGACGCTGGAAAGAAACAGGCGGTGTATAGTTATTTTGTCGAGCGACGCGGTCAGTCTTAGTCGGAGAGAAAGAAAAGGAAGGTCATGAGGCTGGACTTGGCCAGGGAGGTCCATGGTATGGATCGTTGGGTGAAGGGAGTTCCAGACCGTGGGGACAGCAGAGGAGCATGAGTGACCTTCCGCTGAGCCAAAGTTGACGGCGGGTGGTGGGCGGTGGGGGGGGGGAGTTCGACTGTCATGTTCTCATGGTGGTGAAAGTCCAAGTTGTATCAAGGTGGCTGGGTGGCTCAGGGATAAGAAATCCTGGGTTTGAATCCGGTGTAAGAGGCTAAAATAACCCCTGCCCCGATTAAACCCGGGTATAGTTTGGCCCAGGCCAGAATATACCCGGGGGGATAAAGTGTCCTAAGCTAAACTATACCTCCCGGGGATTTAAACTCGACTGGGCCAGACCATGCCCCTACAGGCCAGAACATGCCCCATGTGAAAGTTCAAACGAACTTCAATCGATATCTACAAAGCGTATAAATGGAAGTAAGAATCTCAATTTGATCAATTGAAGCATTTTTAGGGTTAGGGATAGGGTTAGGGATAGGGTTAGGGTTAGGGATATGGTTATGGTTAGGGTTAGGGATAGGGTTAGGGATAGGGTTAGGGATAGGGTTAGGGTTATTATTAAGGGTTTTCTGGTTGAAGCAATCAAAGTCTATGTGTTTACAGTTTTAAATAAAATGTTGGAAAAATGTAGTAATTCACGTGTATATCGCTCAATACTATTATTATCATGGGGGTATGATTTGGCCTAGAGGGGTATAAATTGGCCTAGGCCATAATATACCCGGGTATAATCTAGCCTAGGCCGTATTAACCCCGGGTATACTACGGCCTGGGGGTATACTACGGCCTGTTACACCGGGTTTCCACCACCTGTGATTAAAATGGGTTCTCAAGTGTTGTGAGCCGATGGTCCCAGCCCAGTCAGCGATGAATTATACGGGGGGGAAATATAATAAAAATTGGGGTTTTCACTTAATTTGGCAAGATTTTCCTTGATCTCAAAATAACGCATATTGGTTTGGTTGCCATGTGATGAATATCCCCTATCACGAGCAATGTGGGAAATTGTAGCACTTCTGGTGTGGGTGAAAGATCACTTAAAGGTTATCTCAGAAGTGGTTCTGGGATGGCACCTTCTGCATAACTTTCTCGAATGCTTGGCATAATGTGTTGATCTTAAAGAATTTCAACTTGAAATTTCTCTGAACAATATATTCACTCAAATTATTGCACCTATATTCCAAGCAATCCGACTGGAAATTGAATGTCACGTACTTGGCTTTGGACAAACGAATTGCCTGTTTTCCTTCGGCATCATGAGATGTTTTGCAGAACTATGCTTAAAACGATTCCTGTCGTTTAATAATACGGCCGCCGGGCAAATACAAGCAGTGCATTTGGCTGCAGGCAATTTGCACCGCCGGCAAGACGGGCAAGCTGGAGGGCGATGAGCCCGGGTGTTTAGGAGTGGCCCCGGGAGTGAGGTAATTGCAGGAATGTGCGAGCGCTGATTGGAGGCACACGAGGCCCAGGCACCTGCACAGAGGGGCGCCACTTCTCTCCTCCTCCGAGCGCGCGCCGCCATCGGATACTTTGAGAGCCAGCAAGCGAGAACACATCACCCCCCGGAGAACCGCTTTCCTCTCATCATCATCGTCGTTGTCGTCTTCATCAACGTCCCACAACGGATGGCCGGACGGGCTAACGTGGGGGCTAGTGCGGGGGCTGTCTCCAGCCGATTTGTCTGTAGCTCGATTTTTTTGGTAAATCGTTAAGCTGAAACTATGCACTGCTCTGAGCGTGCGTGTGTGGGTGCATGCGCCTGTATGGGTGTGCGCTGTAAGCGGTGGTGCAGGGGTTAGTGCCGCTGCACTACAAACCTGGCGACCCGAGTTCGATTCCCGCTCTCGGCCAATATCGGTGACGATTATCTGAACCTGTTCCTAGGCCTCCACCTTATGTCGACTCAGCCTCAAATGAGTACCTGGTGCGGTGTGTAAACATCGCCGCTGGGGAGACAAAGGCGGCCGACTGTGATGCTGGCCACCCACCCCCTTCGTGTGCTGTTCCGGCCTTCATAGGTGCTACTCGCTAACAGCACTTGCCCCAACAGGCTGTGAAGGCTATACGGGTGGGATTGTTTTTGTATTGCGTGAGATGGTGTGAATGGGATAGATTTTCACGTCGGGAATTTTGTACGAATGTTTTGTTCATTAAAATCAATACTTGCCTTGCGTCGTTACGGTGGGCGTTTGGTGCCCGCTGGTTTTGTTTTCTGCTGTCAGTGCCCAGGGAGCGCCTCGCTGGCCAGTTCTGCTGCGCCGCCTGCTGCAGGAAGTGGAGGCGCGGAGCATGCGCCTCCGAGAGCCCGTGGCGATCGTCGCGGTGAGACGCACGGCGAGGACCGTCTGGCTGGCCCTCGCCCACCTCACCGCTAGTGCGAGTCCACCTCGCTAGCGCCAGTGTGTCTTGCTCGTGCTAGTTTATCTCGCTTGCGCTGAGTTTGTCTTGGTAGCGCCAGTGTGTCTCCCTAGCGCGAGTATGTCTCGCTATCGCTCACGCATGCTTTTGGTCTATTGTCGTCTTTTTTATGTTCACGTAATTATTAATCTACTTATTTAAGAAATGCTAAAGGTTGGGTTTTTTTTTTGGCTCATTTTTGTTTTGTAGTTTCTTCCCTTTTGAGAAGTGCTGGCTCCGACTCGTGCAATCAGTGACCGTTTAGCGAGGAGTCAAAACACGGCGCATGAACAGAAAACAAGTTTTGTCATTTTTCTCGCTTTCGCCAAAAACGGCAGCGAGCGTGCTTTTTTTTGCGTGCCGCATGAAGAGGCTCCGGGAGATGAGGCCCTGCGACACTAACAAACGACCTACAAAAAAAATAACGCTTTAAAAGAAGAGCCGTTAACAGGCGGCGCGCGGGCCATGTCCGGCAGCTGCTCAATGAGGCTGTCCCAAGTTCATCAGCCGTAAATGTTCAACTCTGAGGGGCTCATCACAACACGTCAGTCTCCGCACCGGGCCGCGATGATTGTCCCTTGGCCGTGTTTACTGAGGGCCTCACGCCCGCCTTTCAGCACGGGCTCAAGGCCTGACGAGCGATGGAGAATAAGAGCCGACGGGGTGGGGGAGGGGGGGAGGAGGGCAGGGTAGGGGCAGCGGATGTCATGAGATCACCACTTTCGAAAACTTACGACAAACCCTTTTGTCCCTCTTTCGACAAATTTGCACAGGAACCTTTGGCGAGGTATCGCCATGTTATGGTGGTTCTATTTTTTTTTCATGTTTGACAGGGGGGAATGGACCAGGTCTGATCTTTTTTCAATGTTTTTATTTATTATTTAGCTGACTTTGCGACTGCCTTTGGTGGCGGTGGTGTATTATTACAGTTCGTCTTGATAACATCGCGTTCATGGCCAACTTGTAGCGCAGCGCTTCAAAGGAGTTTCCTTTTGTTGTTGAAAATTTTAACAAAATAGCCAATCCGCATCATTTACAATGCAGCAGGGAGATTTAAACTGACATCCAGCATATGCATTGACCTCGACGGCCACCTCACAAGTGAGCCGCGCGTGACCTTGTTCCGCGGGTTGGGTGTGTGAGTGCGCGCTGAACGACGCCTGCGCTTTTTCGCCGCCATGTTCCCTGGCCCAGGTGAGCTTCAGGGACGGCGAGGTGCTCTCTCCTCCCGGGACCGCGGACGATGAATTCCTGGAGCTGCGAAGGATCGTCTCTGAGAGCCGGCAGAGAAATGTTTTGATTTACGGGCTGCTGGTAAACTGTCCGGAGGTACGCCGTGCCGCGTTTCTCGCGCAGTGAAAACGCTAACCACGCCACCGTCCTATGTTTACCTCCTCGCTAAGCTGCACACGAGGACGCCAGCGCTCGCGAACGCGTCCTTACGATTCCCTTCCAATGCAATAATCAATTACAAGCGTTTCAAGCTTTCGTGACTGCAGGGATTCATTTTCTTGGTTCTTTCAGTAAAGTCACGTAGAAGGGAAATAATAAAATAATAAAAATAAATCATAATAAAATCAAAAGTTCTCACGACGTTTCGGCCACAACACAAGCAGCCGTCCTCCGACACAGCTTAAATATACGCTGCCAAGCTTGGCGGTGACAGCTCTGTTTCTTCACCTGAGGACGGCTGCTTGCGTTGTGGCCGAAACGTCGTGAGAATTGTATTTTATTATGTTTTATTTATATTTTTTTATTATTTCCCTTCTACGTGACTTTACCGAAAGAACCAAGAAGATGAATCCCTTCCAATGCGATTTCGTCCCGACGTTTTCGTTTTGCTCCGCGTTGTGTGTATTGGAAAGTGAATTGGATATTGAATTGAGGAAGAAACATGCGGAGTGAAACGTCGGACATCGCGGTACAACCTGCAAAGGTGTCGGAGTGGCACAACCGTGAAAACCCTACATGGTCAGGTCCCATTCCCAACCATCATTTGTCCGGAATTTTGCACGTCAAAGCCAATAGTTGGCCGTCTTATGGAGATACTGGCCCCCTCCATAGGAATGTTGAATTTCCACAATTTCATGGGATTGCTTTCCAAAATACGGATGCGAGATTGAAGCATTTTTTCCCCTTCATTCCCCCCGCCCCAGACGAGAGAAGTCTGTCATCGCGAGCTCACAGCCGCACGCCCCCACCTGCCCCCTGTGGCGCATACGGCGCGGCTTTAATGAGGGGTCTGGGACTCCGGGGGGGGGGGGGTTCTGGAAACGAGGGGGCGTAAAGGGTACGTGGGAGCCCCCGCTGCACACCACCACCACCCATCCCGCGCTGGGATTCTCCCATTTCGCGTGTCGCGCCGCGACGAGCCCAGACTTCCTGCCGGGCCCGCTGCTTGTTATGGCTCCATGCTTGGCGGAGGAGGCGTTTACGAGCTCTGCAGGGCCGCGGCATGGGCTGGGGCCCCCCGGTCTCGGGCGCCGAACTGGTAAAGCGGCAGTGAGCAATGCCGCAGCCGACGGGCGAGAACGTCTCGTAGGGGAGATGGAGGCAGGCAAGCGGGCAGCGTCTGCGTGCGACTATCGGATGTAAAAAAGAACTCGAGTGGCCGTGTGTTCGTGGTTCGTGCATAGGCGTTGTAACGAGTCGCGCGCCCCCAGTGATGTGCGTGCGTTGAACTTCTTTCGTGCCGTACGTAGCCAACCATGCTTATTGGAGGTGCAGGGGAAGGACAGCAAACTTAACACAGAAAGCAGTTCTAAAGAAATGGGATTTCAATCTAAATTTCAAAGGGCATAGCTCCAGTGGCTTCCTAATATTGGAATTAAGAGCGTTCCAGACAGCTGTAGAAGCGCCTTTGAAAGCGCGCATTGCAGTGACCGTCTTTGTTTGATGGCTTAGCCAAAAGCTGCTGCGAGAATGACCCAAGATCGCGTGATTGGTTTGTGCTCCTTGACGAGATCAGCAAGGTATTGTGGTTTATTTGTGGGAAGCACTTTGTGTGTAATGAGTGCAATGCCTTGAATTGTCCTGATTCTGGGCCACACGGTTAAGATTCCAGAAACCCACGTCGGTCATTCCACACCTCCACAAAGCGCCTCTTAGTAATCTACTGAAAGCAAGATCGTAGGCGTGTAACGATTTGCCCTCCCCAGTGAATCGATGGGTTCACTCACTGTGCGATTGTGTAATCGGTTTAAGCATCTCTTGGTATTATTTGGTCTTGTTTTGAGCGTTCTTTTTCTCAGTTTTGAGCATTCTTTTTCTCAGTTTTTTTCTTTTTTGGTGTTGTTAACATTCGCACCGATTGTAAAGGGTTGGTTGACTCGTGAGCACGTATCAGTGAGTGCAAGATCTCAAACTTTATTTTCAGTATAGTCCCCTTCACAATAAAGTTGTCACAGAGCAGCTTCAAAGATGGACACATTAAAATGTATGTAACATAACATTAATCAACATTTAAATGACGCAACGCAATGAAAGTTGTACACATAAGTTCAACTTAAAAAAAAACAGATCATCAGCTCACTCCCCCGTGCAAATAAACAGGCCCCATAAACCAACCAGCAAATATAGTGGTGTCAAGCTGACAGATAGATCAACCAACAGGGATTTGTGTCAGACTGAAGAGATGACTCTTCAGCTTTAATCAACGAATCGATGTCTCGCGCTAGTAGTGTGATAACGAATTGGCCGGTTCGGGTCAGTGAGCAGGGCAGAGCGCTCGCCGCTGTTGTTGAAGGGCTGCCGAGTTGTAACCGTTGCAGTCACGTTTCCCGTCCCTGCGGGCAGACGCAGCATCTTCCGTGCGCGCCATCCGTCGGAAGGGACGCTAGCGATCATGTTCCCTCCTGCTATTCAAGGATAAATGTTCCAGCACACCATAAATGAATCCACGCAAAGTCATTGCACGGGTGAAGGGTGAACATCTACGTAATTTGGCATTTTCAGCCAATAGCATTGGGTTTATGAGTTCCCCCCCCACCTCCCTATATTGTGTTGGTCATGGTTGTTTTTGACCATACTTCACCGCAGCGGAATCGGTGAAGGAGGTGCTGGGAGGCCAAGGACAGCTTCAGATATCACTCGCCACCGACGTTTGCCGTGGCCGGAATTCTAACTTGGATGGCCGGATTCGTAGCGCAATGTGCAAGCCACTGCATTGACGCTCCAACCAAAGCGTGAACATTAGTCTCATTTAAAATTTTCATGCTCAAACCCCTGGAACATTTATTTTATTAGCTGTACAATTATTGCAATAAGATTTTTTTTTTTATTCGTCATTTAAGGGTCAACAGTACTATAGCGTCAGTGTAGGCGAGTCTTGGACGTCCCCAACGCTTGGCCACATTGCAAGTTGTCGACAGTTCCACTCACGCTCCAAGAGAGTATTTTGTGTGCAGGGTGTCGGTAATAGTGTGCCGTTTTCTGTGGACATTAAGGACCCTGTTAAAGACCCTGTAAAAGCGCCCGTAAGAGTCAGCTTTCATGGGATGGTCTTGTAGGTCAGAGTACAAACCTGAAACTTAATTTCCAAAAAACAAGATTTGAGGACCGATCTGAATTCATATTGACAGTAAACACGGGAAATTCACGTGCGCTCACTCAATCCGGGCGGCCCCGTCACTCAGCGCCTTTAATCGTCGTGTTATTCAATCACATTCCCGGTTTTACTCATTCACTATCCGCACTGTGTGGGCACGGTGCACAACGATGCTGGACAATGTTTTACCGGCCTTTGAGAGCGTGACCTGCAGCCTCATGTGGTCCGTGGATTTCTCTTGCCTTAACCCCAGACCACCCAGCAGTATTTGTTTAGCGGGACACCGTTCAGTGTTGGGGTTTTTTCTTTCTGTAGGATAATTTAAGGGGGGGCATGTGTTCCCCCTTAATGAACAGCAGTTCATTATGTGTGTCCCCCCCCCCCCGCCTCATCATCACCACCACCCAATCGGAGGCAGCTCCCTCGGGCTGACTGGAAGCCCTTGAGGTCAAGTTTAAAAGGTCGTCTTGGCCGGCACTGGCACTGTTAATGTCACCACCACACCTCGTTTGCTTACCTTCCTTGTGCCAGATCTGACAGCAGTGGCCCAGGTGATGCCCGATCATCATGATCTGCTCTCAACTTGTGGAGGTTTACACGGAGGAGGGTGTGGACGTCTTTCCCACCTGTATTTGGCAGTGCCCCCCCTCCCCTCCGTTGGTTCCTCCCTGTTTACTGTGTCCACTGTTGCTGATGAAATTCAGAGAAGTCAAATCCAGTCTAGGCCCTGTCTTGCCTAAACAGTAATATTGTTATAGTTACAGCCCTTGTTCAACCCACCGCTAACTGAAGGCCTTCCCACGCCATGTCAGTTATGGAGACTGTTTGACCATATTGTACCATGCTGGTCAGTGTGAGTTGGTAAGGGGACGGGGGAGCAGGGGTTATGGGGGGGGGGGGTGCAGGATTGGTTCAGATATCACTCGCCACTGATGTTAGCTGTGTTCGGGAATCAAACTCAGCTCTGCGAGTTTCATAGTGCATTCCGTAACCCACAGCCCCTCCGCGACCCCCCACTACCCCACCACCACCACCCTCTTTAAACAAACACTTCTGGAAATCATTGGTGCTGATGACGCTTGTCTCGGTGGTCCTAAATGCTCTCGTATTTTTTTCGGACGATGAATCAGGCGTCTTCCGTTATACGGCTGAATTTCCCGGCACGAGGCTTGCTGGGAATTTATCAGGGCCCGGGGAATCGTCCCCCGATAATATAATATCCGCCACAAATCATAGCGCCAGTGCGGGGATTCGCGGGGAGGGGGCGGGCAGCGAAAGCATCGAGATCTGCCCCATGTGCCGACGAGCGCCTGTGAAACTACTGGACATATATGAAAAAGAGCTTTATAGCTCATCGGATTCCTCCAGCATAAATAAATATTCAGATTCTGAGCAGCAGGGCCCGCCCATCACGGCGCCGCCGCCGTGAGACGGCCGGCCTCTTGTTTCGCTGGGGCCGTCGGCACGCTCCGGACACAGCGCAGGTCTGATGGTCGGTGTCGGCGGTACTAAATGGCCCGGTGCACTGTTTGTAAACGTGTCTGATTGTAACCAGAGCAGACACCCAGACTCTCGGCGACTGTTCGCTAAGCAGTGAGGCCCATAAAGCATAATTGCGTAAACACAGGCATGGGGGTGCAAGGAGGGCGGAGGCAGCCACTAAAGCAAACACCGTTTTCGAGTCTGGTGCCGTTTTCATTGTGAATCTTGAAACCGCGCGACATAACATGTTGGGTGTTTTACTATTAACGCCTGCCAGCTAAGGTTGTAAGCATTTGTCCAC